TTACTGCCATCTTGAAATTCTTTTCCCTCTTTCCCTGGGCCCTGTACTGTCACTGATCCTGGGATGGCTCTCGGTCCCCGGCAGGCACTCAGAGCTTTGAGGAATGGAGGCAGGAATGGAGGAGTGGATACCCAGAGGAGGCTGGGAGGCCAGAAAGAGTGACTGAGACACATACCCCGCCCCATGCACCCCATGGAGCACACCCCATCATGCACACCCCTCCGTCATTGGGCTACATGCATGCTCCTGCAGAAGCTGAGAATCTAGAGGAAGCGTCTCAGAAACTGGCCCAATGCCCTAGACTGGGCAGGGGTGCCTCTGAGCCTGCCCTGTCCCCTGAGAGGCAGGTTGGCTGGGGGGGGGGGGGGATCCAGATGGTGAAGGAGACAGAGCAGAGCAGCTAGCACCAAACTCAGAGGAAGCCTCTTCCCTCCCTCTCTACCCCATCCCTGCCTACTAGCAGTCAGCTGGGGGCCTGGCAGCCCCTTAGCTAGGCCTGAGACAGGGGACCCCCACTGCACCTCCAGCTTGATTTCACCCAGCCCAGCCTCCTGCTCAGAAAAAGACAGGGACAGCAAGCTGCACAAGAGGGAGGGAAGTGAGAATAAGGATCCTGAGTGTCCTCTGTCCTGAGCTGGAGCAGAGCTGAAAAAGATGGTGGTAAGGAGCTCCCTGTCCAGAGCCTCGAATACATAATGTACACGCAGTGTGGCTGTGGTTGTGCGGGCGTGCCTGGGTGGAAGCTGTGGAGAGACTATCCTTGTGAGGAGTATGGCCCATTGATGGGGCTGCACCGTGTCAAGCCGTGAGCATGAGGCTGAAAGTGAGCGTGTGTGGGTTGAAGTCTTGCAAGTGGCCATAGTGCGAAATGGCATTTCACAGGCATCAGAATTGCAGGCTCTTTGCCCCAGTTTCTGCTCAGTCTGCACTAGGCAGGTGGTCTCGAGCCCTTATTAAGGCTCTTGGTTGGGCCTGTGTAAGGCTATTTGGTGGAGCTTAACTCCTCAGTTCTTCCTGGGTGTTGCAGTTAAAGGGAATTCCCTTGTTTTTTCCTCTTGGCCACGGACCTTCTAGTCCATCACAATCCTAACCATGATTTATTATGTTTTGTGTGTCTGTGCTGTAGTGCTGTTGTGTGTGTGTGTTTGTATTTGTATTTTTCCACTGAAAGTCAGCTGCATGGGGCAAGATGCCTGGTTGCCTGTGGGTACCTGACGTTCCTTCTGCCACCCCGTCCACTCTGACTCAGAGCAGCTCTGGACAGCGGACAACTGCCCCATTAGGTTTCTGAGGCTGCAGATCTTTTTGGGAGGAGACGGCCTCATTTTTCTTCCTCAGAGCTGCTGGTGGGTTCAAACTGCCAAACTTCCGGTTAGCAACCGATGATGCTTAACCTACAGCGCCACCAGGTTTCCTGACTGAGTCATTCATTCATTCATTCATTTATTCCAGGTGGTTCCTGCTCGTAGTGACCCTCCCCATTGGGTTTCCAAGGCGGTAAATATTTTTTTTTAAATGTGTGTGTGTGTGTGTGTGTGTGTGTGTGTGTGTGTGTGTGTTCAAATCAGATTTCACTTATACAGGAGGAGATTGTCCAGCAGAGCATCTGGTAGATTCAAACTGCGCACATGTGGGATTGCAGTGCGGCTTTTTGCCACTAGGCCACCAGAGCTCACCAAGGCTGTAAATCTTTTCTTTTTTTAAAAAAATTAATTAATTAATTTATTTAATGTGTGTACCATCAAATTGGATCTGACTGGTACAGGAGGCGATTGTTCCTCCTTCTTCAGCAGAGCATCTGGTGGATTTGAACCATGCACCTCTGGGATTGCAGTGCAGTTTCCTGCCACTAGGCCACCAGAGCTTGCCAAGGCTGTAAATCTTAATGGAAGAAGGCGGCCCATCTTCCTTCTGAGGAGGCAGGGGCAGATTTGAATGACCAAGGGCACAGTCTTTGGGTCAGCAGTGCAGCTCACTCCAGATCACACCCCCAGGGTTCCTGGCAGGGTTACTGTAGGCAATCAATAAATACTTGTTGAATGAAAGCAGGCAAGGCTGTGTCTCTGTGCATGTGTAGGGTAGGGTGCACACTGGCTGTGTATTCTGGGTACCAGGAGTGCTCTTGGCTCATTTCTGGCCTGGATCGTCTTCCTTTCCTAGCTGAGCACAATCATTCGTTTGTTGGTGTGAGCTCCCTTCAAGCCAGCCCTAAATCATGGGGACCCCATACAAAATAAGATCAAATGCCACCTGGCCCTGTGCCAGCCCCAAGATCAGTTGCAGGTAGGGCTGTTGTAATCCACAAGATTTTCAAAGGCAGATCGCCAGATCTTTCTTCCTAGTCTTAGTCTGGAAGTTCTGCTGAAACCTGTCTTAGCAACATGCAAGCCTCCACTGACAGCTGGTGATGGCTGTTGCATGAGGTATGTCGGCCGGCTGTTGCATGAGGTATGTCGGCCAGGAATCAAATCTGGGTCTCTCCCCATGGAAGGTGAGAACTCTACCACGGAACCACCAACGCCCCATCTGCCTGCTATGCCGCCTGTGTCTCTTCCCCACTCTGGGGCTCAGTGACTCAATCTCCTCATCTGTAAAATGGGGATGAGTAGATGTTGGGCTGGGTTATGCTAAGCCCCCTTCCTGATCCGAAGTGCTATAAACCTGATTTCCTCTCAATTCACAGATTTACTGAACGTCTACTGTGTGCCAAGCACTGTGTTGAGCCCTGCCCTGCCCTCTGTAAAGCTGCAAGAGAATGAAGGCAGCTATGAATTAGAAATCCAATTTCATCTTGAGGGCTCCCTCCTCCCAGCCCGCCTGCTGGAAGTCTAGTCTTCATCGTGTGAAATTATCTCGGGTATCTCGCAGGTGACACGTGGACCTTGCACCCTGAGGCTGGAGAAGCAGCGCAGTAGGGACCTGGCTGGTTCTGTTTATTGCTGCAATCCCACAGCTTGGCCAGAGTGGGGAAGAGGTGTGGAATCGGCTCAGAAATAAACGAGGAAGCAAAGAGACTCAACATGCATGACCTCACGAATTGTCGATGTGTCACTCATAACCCACTTTGCAGATGAGGAAATTGAGGCTTGGCCGGCACAGCGCCCAGGCGCGGTTCCCGCTGCAGCTAAGTGGTATGTGGCTGTGGGATGCAGCAGAGGAAGTGGCGGAGAGGAGCAGTCCCAACCCCCACCCCACAGAACAAGAAACAGGATGGGTGCACTCCTAGGAGAGTAAGGACCGAAGCACTGCGCAGAGCAATTCTAGGGTCTGTCTCGCCCCCAGCCAGGAGATGCTGGGCTGGAAGGAGATCAGGAAATGTTTGGGAGAGCTGCCAATTTTCTGTCTCCAGCTCTAGGGAGCTGGGACGCTAGAGACTCTGTTTCCTTAAAGCCTGGCAGCTCCAGTTCCGAAGCTGGAGGGGAGACCCCCGTGCCTACCCAGGAATCCCCCGCAGCCTGGGTCTTCGCCCCACACCCGGAGCCTGGTAGTTCGCTGGGCCGAAACCCGCAGAGCGCGGACGTGGTGCCCTGGCTCTCCCGGGAGGGGGAGGGCTGGGGAAAAGTCCCCACAGTCCGGGTCCCCACCCTCCGCGGCACCGGGCCCCCTCCCCGCCGCAGTTCGCAGTACGAAGCTTACCTTGAGGGGGGCTGGGGAGGGAATGTGTATGTGTGTGCGCGATAGTGAATCCCGCCGAGGTGTGGGTACGTGCGCGCGCGTGCCCGGGCCGTGACGGCCGCCCAGATGCCCGACTGCCGGGCTGGAGGGGGAGGGGACGGGGGGAAGAGGGGACTCCCCCGCCCCGCCCGCCCACTCGCGGGTTTGAATGGAGGGAGAGGGGGAGGGGCGACAGCGAGAGGGCGCTTTTGTCTGATTGGCCCTTCCCCCTTACCAGACCGGGGGAAAACCCCCCAGACCTCTTCTCCGTCCCCTACTGTCCCCCGATCACCATCTTCAGGGGTGGCTGGGAAGAGGCGCCCCTCATTTTGATACTGGAGCTCCGTTTATCCCATCCGCCCCCCGCAGAGCACCCTTTAATCTGATAATCCTGGCCCCAGGCTGTAACCAGGCCTTTTATCTCAGTATCAAAGCGTGGGTTGGGATGTTTCAAAGTGTGCGATTGTGGGGTTCCCCCCCAAGGCTCGGAGTAACGGAGTCTTTGGAGCCTAGGGCGAGGGAAGGGCCCCGCCGAAAGAGGAGGAGCTGGGCGCAGTCCGAGCGCGCGGCGCCGAGGAAAGCCCCCCATCCTGCTCGCCACGCTCCCCAGCCCGGCGCGGGGCCAGCAGCGACGGCCCAGCGCTGGACATGAGCGACATCCAGTGGTCACATGTGGAGACTTCGCGCACAGACGCCGGCGGACGGGCGTGGGTGGAGGGGAGCCGGGGTGATCCCATCACGGAGTGTGTATGTTAAGTCTCTGCGCAGGAGTTGGCAGAAGACAAGGGAGGGAAAGTGATCCAGAAAAGTGGCGGCCATGGTCCGAGCCGGGGAAACACTAGTCTCCAAGGACTATGCCAGGCATGCCTCGGATTGGATCGGAACAGACCACCTTCTCAGCCTGGCGCTGGGCCCGCCCCTTCACAGGGGATGGAGGCGGGTCTTCGTCCAAAGGCCCCTCCTCCTGGAGGGGGGCTCTGGATGACGTCACTGGATGCGTGGCCAAGGAGACAATCCCGCCCTCACTCTCTCCAGCTGCCCCCGTGGCCGCTGCAAACGCCGCTTCGGGGAGGCGTAAGGTGGAGAAAATCATGATGGGAGCGCCTGTCTGTGTATCCTCAGGGGGTGCCCAGCGGAGCCCGCCGAGGCGGGGCCTTCGTGGGGACTCCCCAGAACGGGAACACGTGCGCGGGGCCCCTTTAAGGCGGGCTTGGTCGCCAGGGCCGCCGCCGTGGTTACTAGGGATGTGACGTCAGGCGCGGGTGGGGGGGCGAGCGCGCGCGCTCCCCCGGGCGGAAGCGGAAGGGGCGGGGCTCCGCGGGCCGAGTTTCCAGCGCCGCCGCCACCGCCGCCGCCGCCGCGGGAGCCGGAGCGGGCAGGGCCGCTGAGGCAAGATGGTGGACTACAGCGTGTGGGACCACATCGAAGTGTCGGATGATGAAGATGAGACGCACCCCAACATCGACACAGCCAGCCTCTTCCGCTGGAGGCATCAGGTAGGGTGCGCGCTTCTGCCTTGTCCCCCGTTTTCCCGGGACCCAGCTCTAGGTTTCGGACCCCAAGGACCGCTCAGGGCCTCACATCACCCCACACTGTGGACTGCTCTAGACCCTCGCGTCCACATCAGGACCCCCAGAAACACCAGGACTCTGCTCGTCTTCATAGGACACTGGAAACCCCTTTAATATTTTTTGGGGAGCCCCCTTTCCTAGTCTAAACACCCAAGATAAAGCCTTGGGGATCCCCCAGTCCCATCGCACTCAGAACTCTTGCCCCACAATGTGAACTCCCAGTTAAGCCAGGTGGTTCCCCTATTTTGGGTCCCCACTTCTGATCTGAAATTCCCCACCAGCCGCCCCAACCCCCAGAATCAAAAGCCCCAACACTCTGATTCTATCTTGGGATCCATCCCCTGGGATCTTGATGGTGAATTTCCTAGTGAGATTCCTGTTATTGGCCTGGGACCCCCCCAAACGCACACCTAGACACCAGGGCCACCACGCGTCTGTATTTCGATGGATTTCAAGGCTCGCGTTTTCAGAAGCATATGTACCAGATTTCCGGGACACCTCTGGGTGGGTTTGAACCACCATCCTTTGGGCGAGCAGATCAGTGTTTTAACCACCTGCCCACCCAGGGTGAGAGCAAGGCTTTGGAGACCTGATTCCCCTGCAGACTCTTCCAGCTTCCATCCCGGGGGAGGCTCCAGTGGGACGGTGCATCCGGCCTCCTCTGCTGTAAGACCTCATTTCCTGTCTAAGCAGGAACCGCCCCCCCCTTGCTTTCTGGCCCCAGCCAGAGCCCCCCGCCCCAGCTTCATAAGCCTCCAGAGGGAACCCCTGCCTGGACTGCAAAGCCTCACTTAACCCAAGCCCAGGACCCAGCACCCACCTTGCCTTTCCCCTTGGCCCCAGCCTGGTCTGCCCTTGTCTCTTGTCCAGATGGGCTCTGCTCTTGCAAGAGAACTTCTGGTTTGATTTCCTAAGTCACTGTCCCTTCCTGGAGCTCACTTCGCACGGCCACCACTGTCAGTTGCTGTTGGGTTGTCTCCGATTGGTGTGCATCAGGCTAGATCTGTGCTCCACAAGGTGCTTGCTGGGTGACTGGTTTTTTCCAGGAATAGATCACCAGGCCTTTCCTCTGAGGCTCCCCTGGGTGAACTGGAGGCCCAGCCTTTCAGTTAGCAGCCAAGCAAGTCAATTGTTTTTACCACCCAGGGACTCCCTACCATGGGACCCCAAGATCCAAACCCCCAGATTCCCCAGTCTAGAGAATTTTCTAGATTTAGCCCCTCCGGCGTTCCCGTTGGCCAGTTGTGCTCCTGGGCCAGCAAGGTTAACTCTTGGAAGACCTCGGATGTGAGTGCCTACTCCCAGGTGTGCCTCTTATACTCGCAGACCGAGGGCATGTGCTCCTTGGACGTGTTCTTGCCTCACCCGCCCTCATGGCCCTTCCGGTCATTTATCCCCAGCCTGGCACTGGCCCCTGTAACTGACTTCCAGACCCCTTTCCAGCCACCTCCTCTCAGCCCTGCCAACAACAGCGGCTTCCCCCGTGGGTGTAACTGCTGGGCAAGGCGCTGGAGTGTGGGTAGACAGCACTAGTACTTCTATTTCTGTGTATCATTTTATTCTGAAATAATTTGAGATCGCCACAGAGCTCCAAAGCATATTCATGGGAACATCTATTTTTGTCACATAAACAGGTTAATCGTTACTACTGTGTGGATGCAGTTTGGCCCTGCAGGGCGTGGGGCCTACTGTCCCTTCTACAGAGGCCCCTCCACGCCCTCCTCGCTGGCCCTGGGCCTTTTCCTGTCTGGCTGCTGGGAGCCCCGCCCCTTTCCTGGTCCTCCTGGCCTGTGACTGGCAAAGGCGGGGCCTCTGTGTCCCTTCCCGGCAGGATAGAGTTGAATGTTGTCATCCCACATCTGCCTTGCTTGATGGCGAGCGGGGTTCACATTCCTGCTCCCTGTACCCCAGTGGGACAGATAGGCTTTATGAAATTGTTGCCAGAATGAAATGAGATTAAGTCTGAAAGCCTGGGAGGGATTACTCCAAAGGTGGTCTGGTGTCTTTTTTGGGGGGGCGGGGTGAGGCTGGTCTCTTTTGACTTTCCAGCTCTTTATACATCACTGACAAGCTACCTTGGGGTTCCCCTATCTGGGGGTGTCAGTAATATCAATAACATCCACTCAACTGTGTTGTGAGAAGTATGTTATTCAGGTACTTTAATGTTTGGGAATAGTACGTAGCTTGCAGTGAGTTTTCCATAAACTTTAGCTACTATCCACATCATTGTTGTTGTTTGCCATAAAGTTGGAACCAACCCACAGTTGACTTTTCCAGGCAGTTTTCAAAGGCAGTAAATTGCATGGGTGATTGCCTGTCCTTCTCTGCAGAGCAGCTGATGGAATCGAATGAACGCTGTACCTTTGAGATTACAGTGCATCTTCTTGCCACTAGAGTGCCCTAATCCACATCACTAGTGTTTCGGTAACTCACACTAGAAGTGAAAAGTCCCTGAGCGTGAAGGGCTAGGAGAGAGCGTCTCACTTAGCAGCCTGGCTCTCCTTCCCAGAGACAGCGATGGTGGGCTTTCCTGTGTTTCTAATAAGCAGTGAGTCCTGGGATTGTGTGGGCCTGAAGGCGGCGGGCAGTGGCTCCTGCCAGCCAGCCCTGCCCTGGGCCTTGCCCACCGGGCGGTGTAAAGCCGGCGCTGGCCCACTGCCGGCTCCACCAGCCTCAGCCTTTATACAGCTTAATCTTCCCAGCGGCTGCTCAGAGAACACTCTGCAGACCTTGGAGGCTGCCCAGAAGAGACAGCCACAGTGGTGGGTTTCTGCTGTGACCTGGACCACCTGGAATGTCAGGTGCAGAGAGCCCCTCTGAGAATGGCAGGCAGGTTCCAGGGTGATCAGAACACCTCCCTGCCTGGCTGTGAAGCACGGGCCTTCCCCACCCATTATCCATATTGGAAAAGTGAGTCTCAGGGCTACTGCTGGCAGTTCCATTGGGTGTTGGAGAAGGACCCTGTCTTCACGCTTCTCACCTGCTGTGGGCCTGTCCCAGGGCTAGAGTCTGGGGTACGGCCTCACAGAAAGCGCAGAAGCACAGCAACAGACCATGCTGGTGGTGGTGATCAGCGGGTGACACCCACCGAATGTGTGCTGTGTTAGAGCAGTTCTTTCTCCCTAAATTCCTGTAGTCACCGCACCTCATGTCACTTTGAGCATGTTGTCAGAAGGGGCCAGTCCTTGCACAAGGACATCAGGCCAGACACAGGGTCTGTGAAAGAGGAAGACACCGTGACTGCAGCAGCAGGCTCGGACATGGCCGGAGCGGTGAGGAGGGCATGTGACCAGGCGTGCACAGGGCCACTGTGCGTGGGCCCCCAGTCTCCCCGCCGACAGCAGCCCCTCAGGACAGTCTGGGGAGCCCGCTTCACAGAGCAGGGAGACGATAAGGAGCTTGGCCAAAGTCATGTTGCCAATAACTGGCAGTCCTGAGCACAGCACCGGGCAGGCTGCCCCGGCCCCTCGGTTATTGAATAGTTCTGGGCTGCAGGTTGAGCTGAGCACGTGAAGTCTCTTTCTTATCTTTTTATTTTAAGAGAGAGAGAGTGTGTGTGTGTGTGTGTGTGTGTACACGTATGTACTGTCCAGTTGGATCCTACTGGTACAGGAGGAGATTGCCCCTCCCC